CTTCCCACAATGACTGGCTCATTCACTAAGCTTAGTAAATGTCTGATAGCAATGTATGCCAGGGGGATAGTAACCAAGGATTTAAATGAAATGCTATTAACTTCTACCTCAAAGTTTTTGCAGATTTTGTTGCTATTTTTTCCACAGTCTTGTTTTCCAGCTGTAACACACATTATAAAATTGTTTCATCACAAGATTGCCTCTCTAAACCTTTCCTAACTCCTCTGGTCCACTAACTTTTCCACAGCACACAATCACACACATAGCTGGCAGCTGCACTCTCAGGCCAGCCCCACCCAGGTACCGAGTTTCCAGGGAGAGACAGAGCTGTCAAGACTGAAGCATTGCTAATGTGCTGTAGCTGCTCCTGGCATTGCAAATGGACGAGCTGGGGTGTTCCCAGCTGTGGAGAAAAGAGTTGCTTCCATGGGTTGGAAATAAGAAAGCCGCTCAAAGATTCAGACTTTTGCAACAAAATAAAACAAGACAAAACATCAAAAATAAGAAATAAAGATAAAATCTAACTCCAAAGGAAACACAAAGCCACACCCTAAACTGGATGGCATTCATCCTTAAATCTTCTGCATGCTGGTGATGCCAGGGAGTTCCTAAACACTAGGTATCTCTGGATGAAAGAACTTCAAAGCTCAGGAAGCAGAAGACCCCCCCCACCCCCTGCCCCAGCTTCTCTTTCAGCTTACAAGAAAACAGTCTTTGAACCACACCGAATAGAAGGTCAGATTTTCTTCCAACCTTAGGCAAACCAGTACATTGAGCATTTGCAGCCCTCAATGTCCTGCCAGACAGCACTCAGCCCTGCTTGGGGGGAGATTCTCCCTGTACACACTGTATGTGATGTATTTAAAAAAGAAGTGAGTGAGATGGAGGTGCTTCATCCTGCTTTCCACTGATCCCACTCGCTTCCTCTTCCAGGCTACATCTCAGAGCACCATCGTCAGGACATCCTCCACACACACACACAGACTCACAATCGCACAGACACAGCAAACCACTGCAGACTTAGAAGGGGCAGGGAGAGCTAGTGTAAGGAAAAGAGTACAAGTGAGAGTGGACTTTAGAATCGGCGTGCCCCTGACTCAAGCTTCATCTCACCACTTAGCAGAGTTACAGGAAAACCATTCCAACTCGTTTGTCCTACATCGAAGTCCATCACTGTGAGACAGAAAGTTACATTAGTACTGACCTCATAGAGATGATGGCAAAATCACATAAGTTAACCCGCATGGAGCACTTCGATATGTTTTTACTACCTGACACAAACTATGGTGGAGAACTCACATCAGAGACATGGCGACTCGATTTTCTAGCTCAAGAATTGTAGAGACCACAACTACTCAGACACAGGAAAAGCTAAAGATATGCCCACTCCATAACTCTATGAGGAAATATCTTTTATCCCAGAAAGGAAGATCCTTCATTTTTCTTACTTTTAGATATTTGATTTATGAATATACAAGTTTTAAAAATCTCTATGGTATCACTCAGAGTTGAAGTAGAACTTTTATATAACACAGCCAGCTGCCTTAAGTGGATCAGCTATTGCTAGCTCATGCTTAAGACCTTTCATACCCAATAACAACAATTTAAATCTTGTAAGCTGATCAGCGCAGATATCCTAATTCTTGGAAAACAGCATTTTCTTACATTCAATCTTTATCTCATCATAAAAAATTATTAAGAGACATACAACTTGCAGATATATGCAGGCCTTTTTAAATTTTTAAATTTATTTTACATACTAACCAGAGTTTACCCCCACCTCCTCTCCTAGTCCCTCTCTCTCACCTCCCCTCTTCCCAGCCCTAATCTATGCCTCCTCTACCTCAATGGATATCAACCAAGCATAGCATATCAAGCTAGAGTAAGAGTAGGCATCCTCTTCTGTTAAGGCTAGACAAGGCAATCCAGTAATGGGAAAATGTCCCAAAGGCATGCAACAGAGACAACCCCTGCTGTCTCACAAGAGAACCAAGCTACACAACTATACCATATATGCAAAGGGCCTAGGCCTGTCCTACACAGACTCCCTGGTTGGTAGCTCAGTCTCTGTAAGCCTCTATGGGGACACTTAGTTCACTTCCCATCATTTTATATGTCTTAAATATAAAATCTATTAGACTAAAAATAAAAACCTTCCTTAGTCACACTAGTCACACTTCAAATGTGTTTGATGTTCACATGTTCTCAGGTGATACTATATCAGGACAGTGTGCATTAAAAATCAGCTTAATTACGTAGGTAAAGAAAAAGTGGTGCTTCTGTTAGGTAGTATCTTGCTGTTATAACAAAATGCTGGATATAATCAAGCTCCAAAGAAAAAATTGTATTTGTCCTCACAGTTTTGGACGTTTCAGATCACGACAAACTGGCCCCACTGCCCTGAGATGGTGGTGGCACAGTCTGCCATGGTGGGAACATATGAAAAAGCAGTCATTTACCTCATGTTTGTAGAAAGTGAAAGAAAGGAATGGAAAGAGGAACCATGTGTTCAATATCCGCTTTGGGAAAATACCCACATTGAGCCTACTCCCACATGGCCCCATCTCTTAAAGGTTCTACGACATGTGAGAGGAAGCTACAGGCCTCTGGCCTTTGAGATAGAATGGAGATGCTATGATGGAGAAACACAGACTGCTACAGGGGAAACCTCTAGCTTGGACCGGACAACAGACCTAGAGATATGGAAGTTCATGATGACACAGACATGTTCCCATCATCAGACACTGTCCAGGTGGTTTCAAGACACAGTTACAGAATTCTAGAACCTGATCTTAAGACCTTCAAAACATGGAAACAGTCAGGTCCTCCAGAAGGCAGAGGTAAGCAACAGAGCAGGGCTTTCAAGACACAGGGCTAATGTTGACAAGTACAGACCAATTAGAATTAGGCATGAGTTCTACTTACACCAGCATACTTGGTAGAGACTATTCAAGCATGAATTTTGCCTACTGCCAACCAGCTCTCTGTTTCTCCTTCGGCAGACCTAAGTATATCTCCTGTCACCTTTTCATTACAATTCCAATAATGTTTTTAAAAAGAGTGTCATACCAGCTTCTATGTGCATCAGGGAGTGAGCTCTTACCCACTATCGGTAGTCTAAGCTAAGACTTAATTATTAGATCAACATCTAAGCCCTTATTAAGAACACAGGCATAAGCCATGTATTAGATAGAACAGCTGTAATATACAATAGGTTTTTCATTACAAAGCCTCATCAGATGCATATGATAAACAAGTATGTTTCTAAGCTAACTTCAGTTACAATGAGTGATATGGAGGCAAAAGACAGGAGACAAGAATCACCTGCCCTACTTTGCTCAAAGTCTAAACTCAGTAGAGTTTGGGAGTTGCCAACATATGTCAGTGGCTTTTCCATCCATATTCAGTCAGTCTGGGGAAGGTTTCAGACAGGGAGATCAGTGGGGTCTTGGTGGTCTAACGATAAGAGGCATAGCGGATGAGTTGTTAATGTCCTCAACTATAAATCCAAGAGTAGTAGAAAAAGCAATGAAGGTAGATGAGGCTAAAACACATGGAGATAGTATAGTTCAAAAACTGCAGGGCAGCAAGAAGGGAGTGAGGGATGAGAAGTAAAAGATCTGTATGTTAGCAAAGCAGAAGGAAGTCTATTTGGGGGATGAAATGGGGCAGCAAGAAGGTGATAGGAAATGCTATAATGAAGCCCGGGATTCTGTATGCAAACCAAAATGTGAATTAAAACAAAAAGGAAATAGCAACTGCAGATGTGGATGAGGCCAAAGAAGACACAAGTAAAGACAACTAGGCAACAGAATTCAAAGGAGACTCAGAGGCAGGAAAGATGTCAGTCAGAGAATAATATGTTCAAATATTATTGTTCTGAGAAAACAGATTTCTAGGAATGGTCATGGAACCAGGTGGCTAAAATGTTGTGGCTGTGAAAGGTAAGGTGGTGACAACATCTATGACTTGAGGCCAGGACACTCCCTGCGATGCACAGCTCAGGACTCATCCAACGGGTTGTTATAGGTCTTCATTGCTGTTTTTCTCCTAAGCATTACCAGACCTATCATACCAATTTTGAGTCTGAGTCTAGAAACACCCTTCAAGTTACCTAGCAACTCAATCCTAGTCAGTGTGTGTTACAGTAAAAAAACTACCAAGTACAGGCTGTCCTTGATCCTCAAATGATGGGTGCTAAAGATACCCACTCAGCACTGAGGGCTTTGGGCTGTGTTCACATTAAGCTTTAGTTTAACAAAACCATTTCAAACTCCTTCATCTACCTTCATTTATAGCACTCTCTCCTCTGTGACCCCAATCTTGTTTCTTCCTAAACAATTATTTTTAAAATCAACCTGACACCCTAAAGAGATTTTTGGTTTGTTTTGGTTGATTCAAAGAATGACATTTTATTCACTTCTCTTTTCCTAAAATTGATCATAATCCTAATAATGCTGTGAACAAGCAAAAGAAATGTATTCTAAATGCTACCATTTCATTTTCCAAAGCAAAATTCAAGATCCCAGGCCCCAGGGGAGCTGGGAACTTCCCTATAGCGTAACAGCTTCTATTGTAAATAGTGTTTTGGATACAGACATCTCAGGGAAAACTTATAAGCAGACAGGTGTCTGAGTCCAGCCATCTGGAGGACAATTTCTCCATCTTGCTTGCAAGGTCAGACAAGTTCATGTTCCCAGACCTAGGAATGAAGATCTATCTGCCTTCTCCAAATGTTTTCTTAATTATCTATTAACTGGTAAAGAATATAGAAGTGGCTGTTATCTAAATCAAGGTACATAAGTTATAAAAATATAAAACCATGTAGGCCTACATTTTCAAATCCTACCTTAATACGGGTTCTTAAACACTTTAACCTCCCTTCTAGTCCACCACTCACCAGAGATAGTGGAAAAGAAAGGTTAATAAGAAACAGGGGCAGCTGACCTATTTAGAAATTGTTTTTTGTTTTTGTTTTTGTTTCTTTTGAATCAACTTACATCTGTGTTGTTAGGAAATCAGCAGTTCAGTTCACAGGAACCCTCAGTGGCAGCTCGGTCCACTCATAAGTCCTTTATGAATATGCCAGCAGTCCAGTTCCGTAGTACCTGGATAGCAAAGACAAATCAGCAGCAGTAGCATGAACTAGAAAAGACAGCTAGACCTCAGCCGAATCAGCAGCTGAGTCAACAGGAGGAACCACGAGGGAATCCAAGAGAACTTCTCCACTGTGCCTTTCTCAGTGAAGTGGAGACCAAGAAGGGTTACAAAGCTAGTTATGCAAGCAAGCCAAGTCACGTCATTTTCTGTTGAGTCCAATTTATATACCCTCCAAACATCCCGTGTCCCCCATAGTATTACCTCGTCATGTGAGTTCTATTAGCAGACATCACTCTGTCAGGTGGCCTGAATACGATGAGGAAGCAGCATGAAGTCGTAGGAACCTCTGGAAAAGTTTCTAGTGTGTTTTTCTATACGGAGTCACAACAAATGGAGCTCAGCTCTACAATGTAAGGCAAACCAACACGTGCATGTTGTTAGCAAAGAATCCTTCATCACATGTCCTTTCACGTGCTTGCTTTAGCAGAACATCCTTTCACTTGTGTCTGCTTCAGCAAAATATTCCTTCATGAGTCTGCTTTAGCAAAACATCCTTTCAATTTGTGTCTCCTTCAGGAAAACACTCTTTCATGTGTTGGCCCCAGCAAAACACCATCCAACATAACTGACTTTGCAAAGAACCCTTAAGTTTCTACTTCATTAACAATTGCCTGATATGCCCTAATTAACCACCGGCAGCTGACCAGGTACTCCTTATCACTCTGAGCTCTGAACCAAATGTCTAGAAGACAGAATTAAGTTCTATAGTTTCAGTGGCTTTCCCCCTGGTCTGCTATGTCAGTATGTGTTCACAGTAAACATCCTCTGAGAGTTCATCTCATGGAGTATAAAGACTCAATGCTGGGATCCAGGTCAGTTTGCAGAGAGCCAGAGCTCCTCTGTCCACTCACTAAGGTAAGACATAGAGCACGGGAAGAGGAAAGATGCCCGTTACTTTTAGCTCCCGACATGGCATGCATACAGGAATAAAATGACCAAAATAATCTTTCTCTCTATTTTTACGTAAGTGCTCAGCTCTGACCAGAATGTAAGAGAGGCAAGGCTCACAACTGATTGCTTTTCTTTACATTGCCCAGCAGGCTTTGGCTACATCCTCATTCTTTTTCTCTTCAGAAGCCTCCCAAAGGGACAATTTCAAGCATTAAGAGAAATTCTAAGTGTTTTTTTTCCCTCTGTCTTCCCAATTTGTGTTTCACTTTCCCTATATCACCCATACTGCCAAAAAAGGATGTGATAGGATTTCAAAAATAACTTCACAAGCTAGTTTAGAACCTCATTAATTCCAGAGTTCTGATACAAAAATCTGCTCTGGCTACTAATTTTCTTCTGAGATTGCTAATCTGCAGCTCTCCGGCTGCTCGTTCTCCTCCTTTCTGTAGTTTGCTTTCGCAAAGCTTTATGCCTTCCTCCAAGCAAATATTAGGATCTAGGGTTAGGATTTAGTTGTGTGTTAAAGTAGAGTATGAGGAGATAGTGTGGATATTAAGAGATGAAAGTCAGAGAATCTGGAAAGCCCTTGAGGAGAAGGTGGGAAGAAACTATTCCAGGATTGGACAGCTGGGGAAGAGCCACAGAAACAAGAGTGCTTCTATTCTGCAACTAAAGCTGTCTGAGAATTATAGGGACTAGGGAGATGGCTTAAGACAGTAAACTGCCTGGCACTCTACTCTGAAGACTTGAATTTGGATTCCCAGTACCATGGGCATGAAGAACATACTGCAATTCCATAATTGGGAAGACAGATAGGTAGATCTCTGCAATTCTCTGACCTAGCAACCAAACCAAATCATTGAGCTTGGGGTACAGAAGAGAAAATCCTGTTTCAAAAGATAAAATGGAGCGCAAATCAAGGAAGATGCCCAACCCTGACCTCTGGCATACATAGACAGACAGACAGACAGACACACACACACACACACACACACACACACCACAAATGGTATACACATGTCACACACACACATGCACACCAAAAATCAATTAATCAATTAATTAATAAACAGAAAACAGGCTTGAATTCCAGATCAACCTGCTTACAACAACTAGATGTGGTTCTCCAACATTTTATGTGTGCAGCTGAGAGGACTGAATTTTATATTGCATTTAATTTTAATTAAAATCATAAACTAAATTTGATTTCTAAAAAATCAGTGTGATTAAAATTACTTGAATATATAAACCTACATTTTCAACTGTAAATTTTGTGAATTTTAAATATATAAATATAAATTTAAATATAGATGAAAATTTATCATCAGAATTTATGTTCTTTGATAACAAAATAGATGCCAGAGTTTTGAAGACTTACTACGTATTTTGGATACCCTGACTTTAATCAAACGTATTGGGTTGCTATTATTGGGTTTTGCTTCTGCTTTTTAATGTAGCTAATAGAAAATTTAAGTGTGTGTATTTATTTACATTATATTTCTATTGGGCAATATTTTTCAGAAACAGAGATTACGTGTGTTAGAATTACATGTTTTCACTTTCTAGCTCTATCTTGAGATCAAAGATCTTTTCTAGCACTTTGATGAAGAACTACCTGATAGTCCATACTACATAGACTCCGTGTGAGACATGACTGAGTTACATAAGCATGCAATTCCTGAGCTATCTATGACACCTGGCATGCTCAACGGATATTACTATTATTATAGTTTGAAGTTTATATTCATCATACTATGAAGAGAGCAAGAAACTAGAAGAGACTTTGTAATGTCAGAGAGTATTTTTCTCCTTCTTAGAAAAGTCTAATAACAAACGTCCATCCCATCAGACTCTGGACAACAGATGCCTAAGGCCTTGTTCTCGTGGTAAGCAGCTATATATTAGGTCACTACTTGATGTTGATTGAACACCGTCTTACAAATCTCCAAAAGCCACAACTACAGATGGGTGTCCAGATTTAACTTAGAAAAATATCCTTGTAAAATATGGTACCAAGCAAGGAGTATATCAGGCTCTAACCTCAACTTGTACTTATCTGATGGGATTGATTCCCCGTCAGTTAAATACAGACAGTAGGAGATGGTAGTATGAGGATTTAATATGTAGCAGAGAGAGCTCTACAAACCACACGGCACCAAGCCGGTACCAACATGCCTTCTCCTGAGAATGACTGCTGCAGGTTGGGCTACCCCCACCACAGATAATGCAGTTGCTTCATGGGAGTATCCCAAAAGACCCACACTTTGCTCAACACTCCCTATAAAACTGTGACTAAACAGTCAACCCCTATGGTGTAAAAACTTCCAAAACTCCTTTTGAAAATAAAAATGTAAAAGATATACACTTAAGGGATAAACTAGTAAGTCAACAGCAGTTGTTCTCAAATCAGCATGTTTTGTCAAGTCAGGCATCTTGCAAGTCTTAGAGGAAATGAGACCAATCAGACAAGATTTCTTCACCATTTCTACGACATGTATGAGTATGTATAGTACCACAGTATTCAATAAGAATGTGGGCTGGGGCTGTAACTGAAGTTGGTAGTCAGACTTTGTCCCTTTGAGAAGGTAACATTTAAACAATTGTGGAGGTAAATAGAAAGAGTAATTCTTATATCCTGGAGCTAGATTCAGGAGAAGGTACTCAACCTTGTCTATGTGTGAATCACACCGGATCTATCACTTTAGAAGTGGCTAGCTGTATGCTGGTTTACCTCATTGGAGCAGTCAATGTAATGTTATAGGATTTCACAAAAAACTACATCAGAAAGCGTTATTCTGGGATAATGAAAAGTGCCGTGTCCCCACAAGACGTATAAATGGGACTTTTGAAAACATGACTAACATAACATCATTCTGTATAAAAAATAATCTTAAGCACATTTTTAAAAAGAAGAAAACAATCATGGAAAGGACATATTATATGAAGCAATATAAGATGGTTACACAAGATTCAAATATTTCAACTGACAGAACCCACATGAATTAGACTCACGGGTTTAAAAAGAATACTAAACTGGATTAAAATCCACTGTGGTTCCTACAGTGTTTACAAAAGACACATTGGGTAAATTGAAGTGCTGAGTAGCTACAAATCAAAAAATGTGAACATATGTATCAGGCACTAAGCATGAAAACCCTAGTTAGAACAGCTCTATTAATATTAGTCAGAGAAGACTACAAGACAAATAGTGCTATTAAGGACAGAGTTGCTATACAATGATTAAATGTTAAAGTCACCAAGGCAATATAACAAACCATTCTAAACAGTATGCACCTCAATGAATAAAGTCAACCGCTGTAAACAAAATTTGACAGTTCTCCATGAACAAATGGCAAATGTACCATGATGGTCAGAAATTACAAAACATTTCCTTGGGTAATTAAAGTTTTAAATAGCCAAGAGTAAAATAATATAAAAAGCAAAAATGTAGAAAAGTCGAACAACATAATCAACAACTATGTTCCAAATAATACTTAGAAATATTTATCACACTTTCGGTAAGTGCACAAATGTTGTCAGTGAATTTCAAAAAATAGTTACTGAATTCATTTCTTTTCTGCTTTGATAAAATGTCACGAACAACCAGAGCTCCCAGGGTCTAAACCACCAGCCTGGGAGCACTTAGAGAGGGATCCATGGCTCCAGCTGTATATGTAAGGGAGGATGGCCTTGTCAGGCATATGTGGGAGAGGAGATCCTTGGTCCCATGAAGGCTGGACGCCGTGTGTGGGGGAATTCGAGGGTGGGGAGGTGGGAGTGGGGGGGTAGGTAGGGGCACATCTGCAGAGAAGCAGGAGGAAGGGTGATGGGATAGGGGGTTCCTGGGAGGGGGGCGAGGAATGGGGTAAGAGGATAACATCTGAACTGTAAATAAAACATCCAATTTTAAAAATACAACACACACACACACACACAAAGAAAGAAAACCTATCACAAAAAAAGTCATGAACATTAGCAACGTAGGGGAGAAGTATGTTTTATTTTTACTTACAGGTCCATGAGGGTGGATTTCATCACAACCGGGAAGACATAGAAGCTGGTAAGGAAAGCATGGCTGCAGGCAGCAGAGGACACAGGCAGATTTCGATTCTTGCTCCTACAGAAAACAGAGTTACAAGTGAGACAGTCTATCAGCTCTCAGAGCCTGTCTTCAGTGACCCACTTCCTCCAATAAGGTTTCTCCGAAAGTTCCTCCTTGTGAAAGTTCAAAAACCTTCCTGAGCGGGTATATATTCAACATCAACAGATAATAATAATCTTTTGGGGAAATAATTGTTCCCCCAAATTCTAGGGATTTAACTATGGAAATGGGAAAGTAGGATCCAATTGCAAGTGGACTGAAATAAATTTTCTAATACCTAATAAAAGAAATAGAAATTAAAAGCATACATAATATTTAAAAGATGTCGTTTCACTTGAACTTCTGAGATTATGGAGTAACATTATCTGCTTGACATTTCTTAGATGGTAAGGTTACTTATAATAGAATTTTGAGCTCTGATGCTTTCAAGCTAATGTTACATCATAGGCTTTCTGTCATGCCATTATTCTTACCTTTTATCAAGAAATAGCTCTCTAATCCCTATGTTTCTTTCCCCTTCAGCTAGAAATCAAAAGCCCTCTTCTAAATATAAATTCATGTCAATAAAACACCTACAGACCAACACACCCAGAAAATCAGACTGTTTTTTAGGCTCAGTCTGGGTCAACCCTCTGAACAATATATTCTAATTTCTGCCATGGCCAAATGCACTTTCTTTTGTAAAGTTCTCAGTTGTGGTGCACTGAAAGATAACTTCTGTTCCTCAGTCAACTGAAGGTTTAGACCAGGCTTCCTGCAGCCTTATTCTTTTCTGGAATGTAGTCAATACTAATCCTTCTTTCTAACCTCAGAAGCCTGTGACTCCTGTTTCCTCCTAATTTACTGATTAGCAAAATGGTCCTAAAGCTTTTTCTAGAAAACTTCTGACATACTTTACTTACCTCAGTGCATTTTCTTCTCTCCACAGGAGCCTAATTCCTTAATTCAGGGACTGGTATATGTCATGGTAGATCAAATACCTCACAAAGATTTTTCACTATTTGTGGTAGGACATGAACATCTGGTCTTGGGAGACAGAAAGCAGAAAGTACTGACTGCCTCCTTTCACTTGGAAACTTGGCTAGTCCTTGCCTGGAAGCTGAGTCCTAAGCCCTGATGCTGGGGCAAAATGATTATATATTAAGGCTCCGCCCAATATATAAACTCAGCAGAGTTTCTCCTACAGCTGTGAGGTCTCAACAAGAGGCATTTTAGATATAGGGAACTCCATGAGAGTTATTTCCTGTATTGCCAGGGAGTTCATAGGCTAAGAGACAAACCCAGCCCAGTGCACACTGTCCACTGCTTACTGGCGGTTGGCTTTCTGTGATTTCAACACCAACACAAGAAAAAGGGTGGGTTCTGCATAATCAGATCTCTTGATAGAGAGACTGCCCTCACACAACTTTCATTACCTGACATTGTCCTAGTGGTTTTCATGCACATTATATTTGTAAATTGGCATGCACCATGTGCTCAGGGAGAGGCTGGTTCTGTCCTCCTGCTACTTCAGAGCGTATTTGTCTCACAGTGTCCTCCAGGACTTCTTGTCTGGGAATGTCTAGTTTTCCATCTCTATTACAAGGAAGACAAAACAGCTCAAGAATAAAAGTATTACATTCTTTAAAACTAGGTCAATTATTTCCAACATTTTTTAAACCATGATGTATAAGGGCCTACGGTATGAAGTTCAGCCATGGAGAGAAAGTTAACTGCCTTAACTTCTTGGTTTGGTTTCTGCTGGGTGTTGTAAGCACCGGGTTTAATGCTGTTTTCTCTAACTGTAACTATTTGTTCTTATAGTTGGAAACTTCACCTTCCCTCTTCTCTGCCCAGGATTCTCTCTATTGGAAACTTCAAAGGACTACCCCAAAGGGGCCTCACCAGCCTATCTCCACTCTTTTTTGATGATGCTTTGCCCCTTTACTACTGTTTTGTTTTTAGGTTGACTTGCTGAATAATAAACTTACTCATTCAAAACTGAAGACGCATTCATCACAGATCATTCTCTGTACCATACAGTTGTCTTGTGTCACTGTGGGCTCCATTGTCTTCATTATCGTTAGTATTGATTGATGTTGGCAACTTCTTACTATACAAAGTGTAAATTTTACTTAACCTCACTGGTTGTGGGAATAGTACAAAATGAAATTTGTTGTCTTCCTTAAAAGACCAGCACCTCTTGGCCCATAGTCAAAAACAGTAATGGTACTTAAATTATGTCTTTAGATGCTACTAGGAGAAAAAAACCTAAAACATTGGAGTGGGAAGAGTCTTAGTGTTCTATTACTATCAAGAGACACCATCACCATGACAACTCTTATAAAGAAAGCATTTAATTGGGGTTTGTCTATAGTTTCAGAAATTTAGTCCATTATTGCCATGGCAAGGAGCATGGCAGAGTGCTGGCAGACACGGGGCTGGAAAATATCTGAGAGTTCTATATCCATGTCTGCAGCAATGGGTAGAGAGAGCCACTGGACCTCACTTGAGCTTTTGAAACCTCAACTCCCACACCCCAGTGACACACTTCCTCCACAAGGCTTCCTAATCCTGCTTAAGTAGTACTACTCCATGATGACTAAGTATGCATAAATATGAACCTATAGAGGTCATTCTTACTCTCCACGTGACAGGGGAATCCTGGATATGTCTTTTAAAAGTTGCAGAAGAAAGAGAAATAGACGCTCAAAACAAATGAGAAACCACTTAGCTAACAAGTTGCTCTTTTGTGACCTTAGTGAGAGTTGCTTCACAAATGAATGGAAACAGTGAATGTGTGCCTGGGAGATAGTCCTGGCTTGTAGAGCCTATCGTTAGTGGAAACAGACATCAGGGTCAGGGTGTAGGGGTCATGATTTGCTGAAGAATGATAGCCCAAATTCAAATAGTATGTAAACGCAAAGAGGGTTTTATTCTGAAGAAGTCCAGCATGCTGGGGTCTCCCATTACCAAGATAGAGAGACAACCAAGTGAGCTCACAAGCCTGATTTAAAGTATATTAGTGGATTCCAGGGATAGGTGTTCTTTATCTTACTCCATCTCTAGGGACACTCCACTACCGGGATTTGAGGGCTGGAAACTGTTACTGAGGAAGTAGCTGAGGAAGTCTGGAAACTGCTGCTGACCTATTGTCTTTGCTTCAGGCCAGGTGGCGGGGCAACTTCTGAGGCCTGGACTTGCCTGGACTTCCCCAGTTCTTGAAAACAGAGACTTAGGCCTCTTCTTCTCAACTGCAAATGTGAAGCCAGTCATGGAGTCAGCCTAGCCTTCTCAAAAGAAAGAATAGAAACAGGTCAGCACATCTTAGGCACTGAGTAGGTGTCAGAAAAGGAAGTTATATTTTGTATGATGGTGGCAGGTGTGTGTGTGTGTGTGTGTATGTGTTATGTGTGTGTGTGCATCTTAGACTGACTATATGTGTACTAATTTGAAGGCTGAAAGTCAACAAAAACTAAAGCAAAACTAAAGCCCAGAGTTCAGAGCAAGGTCTCAGAGGCATCTAAGAAAGGATAAAATAGAGTAAGGATAAAAATCACCTTAGGGAAGAAGAGAAATCCATTCACCTCTTAAGACAAAAGATGTAGGAGTATAGGAAAAATGATAACACACCAAGATCAACAAATATATTTATTATAGATGTTTTTCTCTACAACTGAGAAGTGACTTTATCAGATAAGGAACATTTTCTCTAGGTGGCCAACAAGTCAAGTAAAGTGCAGGTATTGATCTTTTCCTCTAAATCAATGGGTGGTTCTTGGAACAATGAAAGTAGCTGAAGGTCAAGAGCACCATTCAGACTCAGAAGAGGGGAATGTCAGCAAAATGAAATCATGTCTACCTCACTAGACTTCTGGATTAGGATGACAATGAAACACAGGTTTCAGTTTTATAGACACATTGTCCCATAACCTCACAAAATGCCTTACTTCATTTTCTCTCCAACATTTCATTTTCCTATGAAAAAAAATAAAACTTAAATGTGAAATAACAAAACAGTGAACATTCATATACCTATCACATACACAAAAGAGATGTTAATGCTTTCCTCACGTGCAAATATTATTTTAATGCTTAGGCCTCTGTGTAAATTTATGTTCCATGATAAAACTTGGGTAAGATCTCATAATTTTTAGCAACAATCTGTCAGAATCTTTCTGCAACTAAGAATGATTTCTGATATGATTAAATATATTATCACACTCAGAAATATTAAAGCAATAAAAAACAACCTGCGATCACCCAAAACCTAGGACATATTTCCCAGGTTGAGCATCAAATGCTTTTCCAGTTACCTTTTAACAACTATAATCCAACAAATGCTCATGGGTTGCATCATATCTGTCTGTCTATCTATCTATCTATCTATCTATCTATCCATCTAGCTAGCTATTATTTATTTAGGTGTGGATATTGCAGTACATGTCTATACATGTTTGTGTATATATACATATATGCACACCTATGTATGTTCATGTAGAAGCCAAAGGTCCACAATGGATATTTTCATTAATTATTCTCCTTCTTATTCTTTAATGAAAGAATTCAACTCTCATTGAACCTGGAGTTCACTGGGTCAGTGAGATTAATTAGCCAGAGAGCTTCTTAGATCCACTTATCTCAGATCTACACCCTGAGTGCCAAGGCTATAGACATGTGCTGCTGTACATTTTTTTTTTGGGGGGGGGGAAACAAGCTGGTTGCTTGTTCTTTTTTTTGTTTTGTTTTGTTTTTAATGTTTTTTTTTTGAGGGAGTGGGGACATTCCTGGTGGTCTGAGTGCAATTTCTTATGCTTGCACAGCTAGCATTGATGTTCCCAACCCTGACATGCACTGCAGTTTTTCATCCTTTGTTAATTTTAAACTAGAACAGTACAAACCACATACTGCTCTTTCAACTCCACAACAGGGGTATTGTAAAGTCTTGAACAGCAGTCTTATAAAATTAGCACATTCCCGTTTGTTTCCTTATGGCATTTATTAACACTACCTGTACCTCAGACTTACAT